TCCTGTGGTCGCTTTATGTTTTTGGTAAGGAAGCGTTTGGGTCCAGACACTCTTCACGAGTGCAGCAAGTTCTCGCCTGGCAACGGGGAGGGGGTAAGGAAATTGTGCCGCGTCTGATGGTGGAATACGCTGCAGCCCTAGTGAAGGCATGGGCTCGCCGAGGGCAGGCGAGTGGGTGCTGCCAGCAGCAAACCGCATGTGTGTGTGTGCAGGAGCGCCGCGTGCCAGGGCGCTGGCCCACACCACACGTTTTCTACAACAGACAACGAATTCTCCGACATTAATAGTTCTGTGGCTGGGTCTTAGAAAGCGAAGTGTGATCTGCCCCACGCGTGGGCGGGCACAGGCTGTGCGGCCAAGAGCACCGCCCTCCCAGAATCGGGTCCCTTGACCAAGGAGTGTGCTGACTGCTGTGCGCCGCAGGCTGTGTTGTGGACACGCTCAGCCCTTATCCTGGGGCGGAATGTCTAGTACTACTTTTTTGGTGTGAATGTTATATTTCTATGAGAAATAACAATAAAGCTACTTCTTTTCTTGAAGGGAAGGTGAATCATGCCGTGAAAGGTGCCCATGAGTTCAGAGGAGGGAAAGTTCCTGTGGAATTCCGTTTTATTGGAGACAGCGATTTTTTTTTTTTTTTGCAATACTCAGCGTGCTTTATTGGGTTTTTAAGAAATAATTTTGAAACTTAGTGACCAACCTAATTTCTTTAGTTTTTTTCTTTAAAACTTATTTTACGGAAGTGTAGTTGATTTGCAATGTTGTGTTTCTGGTGTACAGTAAAGTGATTCAGTTATATACATGTATGTATGCTTTTTCATATTCTTTTCCATTATGGTTTACAGATTGTGATTTTAAATTTAGGTGTAATTCATAGGGTAGTTTGGTCATGAAAGATTGGAAAATCTGTTCTAAAAATTCTTCCACAAATGTTTATTTTCAAAGAGAAAATGATGGAATTTTTAAATGTCAGAGTATTCATTGACAAAGAGCTGTACTGTGAAAAGTGCTAGGAACCCAATTGTTGAAAACAGTACAAAGAGGTCATCTTCAGAAAGCAAAGTTAGCAGACGATGACTCTGCTCACTGTGCAGACTTGGTAATTCAGGCAACCACGAAGAGATAAGAGAGAATGAACACTTAACAGTTAGAGGGGGTGAGAAGACAGTCTGTGCTCCGAGGCCAGGAGCTTTTCCTGCCTTTCGACCAGGCCCTCTAGTGGACTGTGAAGGTTAGAGCGCAAGGAAGCCCGCCTTCGCATCCCTCTGTAACTGGACCCCGGGGCAAGCAGCCTGAGGGTGGGTCTGGGCCAGGCCTGGGTAGAAGTCCTCGGGGCAGCCAGGCCGGGCTGTGTTCCTTGTGGGTGAAGGGTTACCCCGCAGAAAGGACACCGCTGAGGGTTCTCCACCGGCCGACACACGTGGTCGATCATCAGTGGATCCATCTAGGAGCTGCCTGTCCACATCAGTCCAGCCACGAGTCCCGTGTGGTGTCAGATCGCCAGCTGGGCATGCGCCATGGGGACTTGGTGTGGCTGCTGTCCAGGTCAGGGAGTGGCTGCCAGAGAGCTGTGTGGTGTCCTCCCTGAGCCCCAGGGAGAGCTGCCACAACGGTGACACAAAACTGTGACTGATGTACAATGGTGGAAGGACTCTGGGTCTTCAGTGGATTAAGAGATGCGTGGGGTGCGGTGGGGTCTCAGGGTTCCTGAAGGTTGCCCTGGGGAGGAAAGAGCCGGCTTGCCTGCAGGCCAGGAGTGGACCCGTGGGGGAAAGGCCCAAGGGGTTTGGAAGAGCCTCCTCTTGGTCTTAGTTGCTCCAAAGTGGCTTTGTGCCTGGGGAGGGTGGGGTGAGAGCCGGGAGGGGCGGGGGGAGCCAAGGTTTGCACTGTCCTTGCGGGTAGCTCTCCATGGCTTGTGGAGAGGACCATCTGAGGCAAATTCCTGAAATTTTGAATACTATTTTTCTACCACAAAGCCGTGTTTTCTCATTGAGGCCCCTTCTAGTTTCTGAGCTGCCTTCCCACAGAATAAGTTTAGCTCTAATGTGTGGAAAACTCACGTGTGGCACTTAGGCCTTTATCCACAGGGTAGGTACTGTGTTGAATTTTTGCACACCCCCTTCCACACAAATCCCTGGGGTTTTGGAGCCACTCCTTTGGTCACCCCGAGCCCTGGACAGGGACAGAGTCTCCGAGGAGTTAAGACACGTTCCCTGGGTGGCGAGAGGTTCGGCCTGTCCTGTGTCCCGTAGCGAGAGAGCTGCTTCTCCTGACTTTTTGCCCATGTGCAGCATGCAATGTGGGTGGCTCCTACCTCAGGGTCACCCCCACATGACAGATGTTGGGGAATGTCCCGGGCTTGCCTGGCTGGCCTGACTCGGCCTTGTCTCCAGCTCCTGGCACATGGCCCAGCATGCGGCAGGCCCCAGGTGGTTGGTCAGTCCTGGGTGATGGTTGAACATATCTGGTGGGTTTCAGCAGCCAGGGTCATCCAGGAAGGCTCTTTCCGTGGCTGAAGCAGGTCCCTTCTTAAAACCCCGAAGCAAAATCTCTGTGTTCCCGTGGGCTCGTTGGTAATGGTGAGTCTAGCTCTCCTAGGTAGTGAGCAGTCAGGACAAGGCCTGGGAGGAGTCCGCTGCCACTTTAACTTCTGGACAGTGTTCTAGACAATTCTGTGTTCCCTAAAGAAGGGATTAGGGAAGGTTTTGTTGGGGTGAAAATGATTTCCCAGTCCAGCCATGGCCCACCCCCTCCAGGTGTGCATGGGTCTGTCTCCTCACCCAGGTGCAGCGCCCGAGGTGTTGACATCTCCTCCCTCACCTGCCCCTGAGGCACCACCTTCCTGCAGTGCATCCTGTAGGTTCATCTTCTGACCATGGATCCAGCTGCTCGATTGGGTGGTTCAGACCCCTAAACTCAGCCCCAGCCTCCTGTCTTGTTCCATGCTGTCCCCTACAAGCACCTGCCGTCCTAGTTTTTAGTCCTCTCTGCTGGGAAGGCCTCTCCCACCCCTCAGCCTTCCCTAATTTTACCCTTCTTGGGTGGGGATAGACCAGGGTACAGTGTGGGGATCTGGCGTGTGCTGGCCTCACTCCCCAGCAGAGGAATCCTATTTGCTGGAGAATATCTCATCACGCTGGGGCTTGAGGAGGCAGCGCTGTGCATTCCTGGGCACTCAGTGAAGCTGGGCCGCCTTTGAGTGGGCTGGGACCCTGGAGAGCTAGAGTCCGGGGCCAGGAGGCCACAGACTGGAGGGCTGGCTCAGCTCTGGACGTGGAGGCAGAGCTGGAGAGAGGCTGGCCTCTTTCTCTTGGGGCATCTCTCAGAGGCTCCTGGGCCGTCAGTGTGCAGGCCCTGAGGGTAGTTCTCTGAGTGGTCCTAAGGACACAGGGGTGGGGCATGGTTCTGGCCCTACCTGGCGACCAGCTAGGGGCCAGCTCAGCTCCTCAGGGGCCAGCCGTACAGCTGAGTGCTGGCTTTATTCTGGAATTGTGGCCACCTCTTTGGCCTTTCAGCACTTGGTATGGTCTGGGTTGGATTGTTATTTACCCCTGGTATAACTCTTCATACCTTCAAAAAAGATAAAGAGATATTTGCAAAAGACATTATCTGAAAAAGGGCTGTTAACCCCAAATATACAAAGAACTCTTAAAACTCAATAACAAGAAAACAAAGAACCTGATTTTAAAATGGGCCAGGGACTTCCCTGGTGGCACAGTGGTTAAGAATACTCCTGCCAGTGCAGGGGACACGAGTTCGAGCCCTGGTCCGGGAAGATCCCCCATGCCACGGAGCAACTAAGCCCGTGTGCCACAACTACTGAGGTCCATGCACCTAGAGCCCGTGCTCCGCAACAAGAGAAGCCACCACAATGAGAAGCCCGTGCACTGCAAAGAACAGCCCCCGCTCACCGCAACTAGAGAAAGCCCACGTGCAGCAACGAAGACCCAACGCAGCCAAAAATAAATAAATAAATTTATAAATAATAATAATAATAAAATGGACCAAAAATCTGAAAAGACTTCTTACCAAAGAAGACATACAGATAGCAAATAAGCATATGAAGAGGTAGTCAACACCACATCATTAGGGAATTACAAATTAAAACTACAGGATGCAACTACACACCTGTCAGATTGGTGGAAATCCAGAATGCTGACAACACCAAATGCTGGCGAGGATGTGGAGCAACAGGAACTCTCATCAGTCCTGGTGGGAATGCAGAATGGTGCAGCCACTTTGGAAGATAGATTGGTGATTTTTTACAAAACTAAGCATACCCTTAACCTACAATTGTGCTCCTTAGTATTTACCCAAAGGAGATGAAAATAATATGTCCACACAGAAACCTGCACACGGTTGTGGATAGCAGCTTTATGCATAATTGCCAAAAGCAACCAAGCTGACCTTCAGGAAGTGAATGGATAAACTACATCGAGACAATGGATTAATATTCAGTGACAAAAAGAAGTGATCTAACAAGCCACAAAGGAACCTTAAATGCATATTACTAAGTGAAAGGAGCCAGTCTGAAAGGGCTGAATACTGCATGATTATACCATAGGGTATAATACTTTATACAACCCATTCAGTGTCCAGCACCGAGAGTGAGCCCTGCTGTAGACTGTGGACTGTGGGTGATGATGTGTTGGTGTCAGTCCATCACCTGTAATGCGTGTACCACTCTGGTGGGGGAGGCTGTGTGTGTGTAGGAGTTCTGTACTTTCCTCTCAGTTTTGCTGTAAACCTAAAACTACTCAAAAAAAAAAAAAAAAGTCTATTAAAAAAAAAAAGGTAAAGAGGCCAGGGCGTCCATCTCAGACCCTTTCACAGATTAGCAGACATGTTGCTCTAGAAATACAGATTGATTGTTGTTCCCCTGAAGGTGACAAGGCTTCAGTTGATACAACCTCTTGAAACAAAGTAATTTTTCCAGTGAACAATTAGAACATTCCTGTCTCAGCTACAGGTTCACTCCGCCCTCTTTCCTTTCCCTCCAGGACAACCCTCCATATGATAAAGGGGCCTTCAGAATTGAAATCAACTTTCCAGCAGAGTACCCATTCAAACCACCGAAGATCACATTTAAAACGAAGATCTATCACCCGAACATTGATGAAAAGGGGCAGGTCTGTCTGCCGGTAATTAGTGCTGAAAACTGGAAGCCAGCAACCAAAACTGACCAAGGTAAGGCGTCTCTTCGTGTCTTCTGGGGACACTGCTGCGGGCAGGGCCTTCTAGGTCCCTTCTGACACCACGTCGCACGGAGTCCAGAGAAATCCTATAGCACTGACCACCGTGTCCACAGAAGGCTGCTGTGGTCCCGCTGTTCCATGGGCTTGGCACATCTCAGCTAAGCTTCAGCCCACGCAGGAGTTCTTGTGCTCGCAGCCCAAGGGGGACCCGCGCAGACAGACCAGACCAGCGCTCACTCCCAATGCAGGGAGGGGTGTGACCCTGTCCCTGGGAGTGTTCGTGAGGATTGTGGGCTGCCTGGGGCGGGGGGAAGTGGCCTCACACAGCAGTTAGCACATGGACTCAGACTGGAAGGGGGAAGGGAGGGTGTTGAGGGCCTGCGGGCTTGAGCCGGAGCCATGTGGCAGGCCACAGGATGCTGGGGTGTCTTGGGAGGGCACGGCCAGACTTGAGGGCAGTGTGCCCACGTGAAAGCACACAGTCAGCCTTAGTGGGCCTGGAACTCCCTGTGTGTCCCTGGGTCTGGGTGCCCTCATTTTTCTGGGAAAAGTACTTGATTCACTACTGTGGTCGCCCCCCTCTTTTCTCCGGCAGGTGACTAAACTTTGTTATAGACTGTGTCTAGTTTTTATTCTTAATTCTAGAATTTTCTTTTGCAATCCTAACCTGATATTTTTGGTGGCTTTCTTGTAAGTAACTCCCTGAACCACTTACGGTCTTTTTAGATTAAGGAGAATGGATGAGGCTGGAATTTGAGAGGCTGCAAGTGTTGTTTTTTTTTTTTTGGTGACTGATATACACAGTCATTTTCCAGTGGAACCCCTGAAAGAGTCACTGAAACATCCACCATGAAAGGCATCCACCAGGCTCCCACAGCTGAGCAGCAGAAAGCAGTGGGTACCAAGCGTGGAGTCACAGTGGAGGGGTCTCCAGGGGGCTTGGTGCTTGGTCGTGCACAAGCTGATGTCTGTAAAAGATTGACAGAGTTGTTCTTAAGCACACAAACTCCTAGCTCTGTGTGTAAGCCTGCAGTTGCTGCATTTGCTCAGGCGGCCAGACCACAGAGAGTTACGGGTCTCCTCCCTCACCTGAGAATTGGGCGCAGGTACCTGTGCTCTGCCCCTCTCTCTGCCCACAGGCAGGCTGCCCAAGAGGGCTGTGGCAGCACCGGTCCTGTTTTCAGCTTCAGGTCTCAGTGAGCAGCCAACATGCTCTGCTTTTCCAGGTTGTGGGTGCTTTTTTCAAATAGATAAACCTAAGAGAGGTTTTTCATTCTTTTGTACTTGCTGACTTAGGTTTTGAAGTTAAAACTTTTATCTTAAACACGGTGCTGTTCTACATGCAGCACCGGGCAGAATTGCTATTTTGTGATCGGAGACAGGGTTTCTCTCTAGATCATTCTGTAGATTCGTCTGGCATGGCCTTGAGCTTATCCTCACACACTTCAGGAATGTCGTCCCTGGACTTGACACCGTGTCCCCCGTGTTTCAGTTACCTGTTACTGTATTACAAACCATCTCAAAACTTAGTGGCTTAAATTAACAACAGTTTATTATTTCTATTTCTGTAGGTTGACTGGGCTCAGCTGGGTGATTCTATAGCTGGTCATTCCTTGGGTCACTCATGGTTCACTATAATTCAGCATTCACAGCAACTTTTTAGTGGATAACTACTGCAAATAATGAGAAGCAACAGTATATGGAATGTCCAGAATAGGCAGATCTATAGTCAGAAAGGAGGTTAGTGTTTGCCTGGGGCTGGGGGAGGGGTCTAGGAAGTGATTACTAAGGAGAGTGAGCATTCTTTTAGGGATGATGAAAACGTTCTGGAGTTAGATAGTGGTGGTCTCACACGATTTTGTGAATATACTAAAAAACAACTGAATTGCATACTTCTCAGAGAGTTTATTTTTTGGTATGTGGATTATATCTCAATTTTTAAAAAGAAAGTAAAGAAGCATTAAAAATTGAGCAAAAATAGGAGAAAAGTCAAGAAACAAGGCAAACCTGTATCATACAGAAAGGTGGTAGGAGTTGGCAATAATAACAATAACCAGAAGAAGGGATGTAAAAACAGAGTTTTCCTCAGCAGTGTGTCTGGTTCTGGTACATACCTATCAACAGAGCAAGGGCTTTGTTTGGTGGTGAAAGAGATTCGCCATATGAAATATAGTCAGTAAGGAAGCCTGTATAATACTGACCTCTATACGAACCAAACAACACAGCAACAAAATTATATAAACAGAAAAGTCAGATTCATAAATCAAATGTTTTAGTCCCCCCATACCCATTTGCTGTCTTATAACAAATCAAGTAGATAAACTTTAGAAAGAGGACTCAAATACAATAAACAGGATAAGATTAATAAACTTACCCTTCATAGCACAATCCATGGAAGACCACTGCATTGTACGCCTTCATGTATGGGGGAAGGTATGGGTCACATTTTACTCTGAGAATGGAGCTCACTGGGTCCCCATGAAAAGGGGCGAGCTACAGATACGGTTTACATCCTCCATCACAAACTGTCAGAAAGAACAAAAACAAGGAAATTTTATAGACTTTAGTCTCTGATCATATACAGTGAGAAAGGAGGTAAGTTTTGATAATGTTTTTAAGCCCCTACATTTTGGAGGGGGAAAGATCCTTCTGAGTAGCATTTGGGTCAAGGAAGAGATCAAGAAGCCAGGGCTCGATCATTTGTAAAACATAATGAGTGTGCCCCCCCTGTATGTGAAAGTGATGGATGGGGCTGTGGTTGTGGTTTGGAAAGCGTTGTAGCTGTCGGTGTTCTCACTGTGGAAACAAACGAGCTCAGCTGGGTTTTCTTACAGTTTACAGGGGTAGAGAAAGAATGAAGCACTCATCAGAACTACTTAGTTAACTTGAAAATATTTAAGGCAAGTTCTCTGAAAAGAATTAGACAAACTGCAAACTTGCAAAGTGAATTATCTTTTGAAAAGCACGTCTTAACGATGAATGTATTTGATGCTAATACATTAGGTATTAAGATGATCATAGTGAGAAGCAGACAGCCTGAGTCTCCATAATGGAGGAAAACTTGAAAACTCATCAGTGTCAACTCTGCTGCAGAACCATTTCTAATCCTGGAAAAAGATGGGAAACCATAGGGCAAATGTGGTTCAGGTTTCCCAAAAGTTAAGAACAGCAGTCTCACGGCTGAGCGTGGTGTGGAGAGTCTTGGAGTGCAGTGGGCTGGGGTGCCTCAGAGATGCTGAGAAAGAGCCACTCGGAAGAGTGTTTGTTCCGGTGGTTGCTTCCTCTGGCCGGGAAGGAGGCAGCATAGGTGCTTATTTCATGTTTATGGACGCGTGCCTTCAGTTTATGGCAAGTGAAAGTGATTTTCCATAAGAGTTACTAATAGTTAACTTTCCTTTAAAAAAGATTTTTGATGTGATTTAAAGAAATATATTAAGTAAATAATCACTTAAGCTCCATGTGGATTTGTGACAGACAAGGAGAAACTGGAACAAAAAGCTTTTTTAACCCATTCCTTGTGATACTGGGGTGAAGAGCGTGGGCTCCCAATAAAGGCACCTGGCATCGGCAGTCCAGAGGAGAGGGGCCTTTTTGCTGGGACAGTGGGGGTGCTGGTCCTGGTGGGGGTTGGGGGGAGTCAGGGGACGTGTGTGGAAGCCTGGTGGCTGCATGCACCCCACTTCTGAGGAGTCCAGGGGTTCCTGGACCTTCCATACTTCCCCCTCCCCCACCCTCCACTCCCTCCTGGCCCTCCTGTCCAGGGCTCGCCGTCTAGCACATCTGAGCCTGACTGCCCTTTGGGGGAGCATTGTGGAATCCACCCTGAGCCATCCGTGTGACTTCCACCTCTGGAATGGACTGTGCAGTGCTGATGAGGGCTACAGCCTCCCGGTGGTTAATGCAGGGTGGTCGAGTGAACCTTTCTCGGCCGTTCAGAAGCTGCTAGGGGTCTTTCAGGGTGGGCTCATTATCCATTTACACAGTGCAGGCCTGTCACACACCCTGAACCGAGTGTAGTGCTGGGCACATTGCCCAGTCCCTGCCCTGGAGAAGCTTCACCTGCATGAGAGTGGGGGTGTCAGTGGTGGGCCTGGGTCTCCAAAGTTCAGGAGAGGGGTGAGAATGACTGGGGACTGGGACATCCCCAGTGTGTCAGTACAGGAAGCCTTCCTGGAGGAGGAGGAAGAGAACGTGGCATCACTCTGTATGGTTAGTTATCCACTACAGTAGATGTAGTAGATGTCCTCCATCACTTTCTTCTCATCACGGGAATGATGGGTTGAGTGCTGGTGGTTAGAATTTTGCATGAATGGGAGGCCACTCTGTCTGAGAAGCATATAGACATTTAATCAGAGCTGTGTTTCTTGCCATGCTCCTTCCAAGGGCCTTCTAACCAGCGGTGCCTTGTCCTTTTCTTGGCAGTCATCCAGTCCCTCATAGCACTGGTGAACGACCCCCAGCCCGAGCACCCGCTCCGGGCTGACCTAGCTGAAGAATACTCTAAGGACCGTAAAAAATTCTGTAAGAACGCTGAAGAGTTTACAAAGAAATATGGGGAAAAGCGACCTGTGGACTAAAATCTGCCGCGATTGATTCCAGCAAGTGTGAGCAGAGATGCCGAGCAGTGCATTCAGACACCCCACGAAGCAGGACTCTATGGAAAATTGACATGTGCCACCGCCTGGCATCTGCTTGTGGCAGTTACTAACTTTCTACAGTTTTCTTAATCAAAAGTGGTCTAGGTGACCTGTAAAGAAAGGATTAAAAATTTAAGATGTTCTAGTTCTGCTTTCTTTGTTTTAAAAATCACTGCTTCAGTCTACTTTAAAAGAATGGTGTTTCTTTTGCTGTCCAAATTTATCCAAAATCTTCAGTTTACATTTAGCCCATAAGGTTAAAAAAAAGTTGTGGTTCCCCTCTTCCCCTGCCCTTGCAACTCCCACTTTTTGCATTTAGTTTGTTTTTCACTCACTTCCCCAAACCCAGGCCCCGCCTCCCGCCGGGAGGGGCCGTGGAGGCCTCTGCGGCTCCTCTGCTCCCCTCCTTGGCACGCGGCCTGGTGTGGGAGTCGGTTAAGTTTCTCTTGACTCTGATTTATAATATCCTTTTAAAAAAATTAAAAAACAAGCAAACAACCATCTCCACTCCCACCCCCTCCCAAAAACAAAGCTGTGGAAAGGGAGGCCTAGCTCTGCTGCAAAACTCTGGCTAATGTTACCCCAGTAATGCTGACCAGATTGGCAGACCCTGCCATCCGCATCATGATGAACTCCACCTGGGCCGGCCTGCTTAGGGAGACCCCCAGCACCAAGTCTGCGGCAGCCCCCAGGGGTGTGCCAGCCAGAGCACGGTGCACTTGTGGGAGGAATTTTTCACCAGAGAGGCTCCCGAGGCCACAGGTTGCCATTCCTCCCTGCAGCTGTTCTAGAAGATGTCCAGGTCCCTGCGGACAGTGCTAAAGCCAGAGTGTCTACTTGAAATTCCACGCTCACGTGTTACCAACGTGTCCACCCGACGTAGCTCAGAGCTCACCCTCTGCGTCCTCAGTGCAGCAGCCCCACCGCGGCCCTTCCTCAGCACGTTTGACCCTCTGGCAGACTCCTCTGTCACCGGCACCAGCCTGGGGTCGCCGGCGCCCCACTGGCCCTTCCTCTGGAGCATCCAGACGGCCCAGCCCAGGAACAGGACGGCCTCCCCCTCCCACTGGACTCATGGCCTTCGCGGAGTCAGGCTCCACGTGAAGCTCACTCAGTAATATCCTTTACATGTTTTATATTGTTTTGACTGCCTTTTTTTGTAGAAATAAAAATTGACCTTAGAATTTATCATCAGATGAACTTGTAAGGATTTGAATGTTAATGTCTTTTCAAAGGAAGTGGGACTGTCCCTGAAGTAGAGTCCTTGTCACTGACACCCAGGGGAAGCTAGTGGTCCAAGCACTGTGTGTCACCACCTCCACTTCTGCCACTGGTGGCTTCCCTTCTGGGCGCTCCAGGGGCTAGATCCTGTGGAGAAGATGACTTAAACTTGGCTTTCTGTTTTAATTTTAGTTCTATAACTTGAGGTCTTTCCAGGCTTGCATACCTGAGGTGGCTTGTGTGCAGAGGTGGGGTGATGGTGGGTGAGGCCGCATATGTGCAGCCTGCAGCGGGTCTCATGAACGCAACTTCTTTAGTCCCAGGTACGCAAGAGGCACGTTCTGGAGCCTCCCGTGCGCCCGGGCTGGTGAGGGCGCTGGCCAGCACATCCACGTCTGTCTCTTCATTAGCAGAAAGGCGATGATGGACTTTATTTCACTCACACGCAGATTTGTAATAAAATGCCAAATTCTGTCAGAAGCTATCCAGATAAGCCACCATTTGTTCTCGTCGCTTCTCTGAATCCAGAAATATTGCCATTCCTGGAAACTGTCCCATTGCTTCGTATTTCTACCAGCGTAGCTCTGCCCGCCCATCGCCCCCTTCCTTCTCTGCTCACCACCAGGAGGACGTCCACCATGGTCGAAGCCGGCGGCCCCTCAGGGACTTGCATCCCCTGGCATCACAGCCGGGGTTCTCCCATCAGCAGGGGCCTGGCCTCCGAGAGCTGGGTGGTGGACGGTCCCTCCCTCCGGCTGGGCTCCTGCTCCACCAGCGGGCACTCCCCGAGCCCTCGGGCAGGCATGAAGCGTGCCAGCAGGCGCCTTGCTGCTCCGGGGCCAGACAGCTGGATCCCCCAGAGCAGGGGAGGGCTGTGATCACCACACCTCCGATGGGCCCCATGGGAATACACGCTCCTGCCCGGTCCCCCCGTCCTTCCCCCTATGGCGGGGACTAGGCTTTCTAAGATGCTGCGATCTACTCTGCTGCCCTTAATAAAAATGCTCTCGGACACTCGTCTGGTCGTGTGGGTCTCTTCCTTACTGGGGGTGGGCAGTGCTAGTGGCCTGGGGTCTTGGGCAGGTTCTTCTGGCTTTCTCCCCATACCTGACCTTCAGGAGAGGTGCACAGAGGTGTTCTGGCCATGCTGAGGGAAGCAGAAAGGGCTGCAGAGACACCCTTGGGTGTCTGGGGAGGGGAGAGTGACCTCTGTATACGTGTCACCTCAGCCACATTTAACGGAGGAGCAGACTGGGGCCCTGAGGAGGGTGCTGTCTGGAAGTAGTTCAGGGAGCTGGTGAGGGTATGCCCAAGGGAGGGGCTGGGCCACTTCCTTGAATAGCTCCAGCCCAAACCCACCTCCGAGTCTCCTGACTGCGACTGCAGCCCTAGTGCTGACTCAGCACCAGGCCAGCCAAGGCCCTGACACTTATTGTCAGCTGAGTCCTCTGCTTGGAGTCTGACACCAGCTGAGACCCTGACAGCTAGGTCTGCCATCCAAGAGGGAACTTCCTGGGGCAAGTTTCTGGGGCACCAGAAAGTAAGGAGGCTGGGGGCCTCCCTTGATCATCAGTGGGGACTCTACTCATCCTAGCGCTGTCCTAACTCTCAGGACAGACCCACGGGCACCATTACTCTGCTTCCACAGAGGAGGAAAGTGACTCGGTCAAGGGCCTGTGCTGTTACAGCCTGGCTCCAGTGCCCTTGCCTCCCACGACTGGCTCCCTTTGAGCCCAAACACAGCCACAGACCCTCCCCAAAGCCTGTGAGACCCTCTCAACTCCCTCCACTCGGTGGCCACCATCCTCTCGCCTTCCTCATTCTGTTCATTGTTCAGCTCGAGATTCGCAATGACTGCATCACCTCGGCCTGGCTTCTGGCGCCCTCCTGCCCCCTGGGGCTCCTTTGGCCAGGGCCCTGGACTTCCCAGTGCCAAGTCCACAGGGGGTGGCCTCAGCCCTGCTCTCGCTGTCTTCCCTTGGCAGCATGTCCGTGCCGCACCCTGCAGGGCTGCACCTGAACCTCAGTCCTCCTGCCCATCTGCACTGGCTCCTCCTCACCTGCTTCCCTCATGCACGAGGGGGAACGGCACACCTGCCCCAGGAGCAGAGCTGAAGGTCTGATCTTGCACAGCACAGTGCCTGGCCCAGGCTGCACTTGGTAGATGGCTGTTTCCTGGGTGCTGGCAGCCTGGTCTCCTGGGGGTGCCGTGCGGGCTGTCACCAGAGTGGAAGTCTCCTCAACATCGCAGAGGCTTTGTCTCCATGCTTTGCTGTGTATTCCCACCCCCGACTGCAGCCCGGTCACAGGACTGCCCCCATGTGTGTACCAGACCGTGAGCTCCTTGCAGGCTGTGTCCCAGCTCCCAGGCCTGGCCTGGCATGGAGCAGATCCTCCGTGCCTGATGAACTGGTGGCTAACAGTAAACCCCTAGCCTGGGCCGTCCTGGGGCACAGCAGGTTTTATGTGAAAAATACCCCATCTCCCTGGTGGGATGCCAGTGGCCAGCCTCGAAATGGGCCCTCTGCCTTCTTGTCCCTTTCTCTCTGTTCTTCAGTGCCCATGGCCTAGGGCTGATCTGGGCCCTTATCTCTGCTGCTCCCTCTCTGGCTCCCTGAGTGACACTGGCCACTCCCACAGCTTCCTCCAGCATCTGTGCAGACCCCCCAGTCTCTCCCTTGTCACCCACACCTCTCTCCTGGGCCCTGGAGCCATACAGCCAGCCCCTCCTCTCAGAACAACAGACCCGCCTCGAGGGAGGTGCCTCTGCTTGCTGCCCAGCTCCAGCCAGCAGCCTGTGGGAGCACGGCCAGACGCCAGCGGGCCGGGGCGGGGAGGCCAGGGCCACATTCACAGCCATTCCAGTTCACAGCCCTGGATGAAATGAGGGAGGAGAGGGCCTGCGGCTGGAGAAGTCAAAGTCAGAGGAAGGGTAGGGGTAGAGGATGGAGACAGAAAGAGCGGGCTGAAGCCACCAGTCAAGGGGATGGGGCCCTACCCTCACCCCTTTAGAAAGTGCAGAAATCTTTTGGCCCTGGTTCCATGCTTGGTACAGACTCAGGCCCAGGGCATGTTGAGTAAATGAACAGGCAGCTTCACAGCTCTGCTCCCCTACTATCTCTAGATCTTCAAAATGGGGGCACTGGTGCCTGCACACAGGCACTATGATGTGAGATTAAATGAGACAAGAAGGACCACATGGGTTTCCATCTGCTCCTGGCATCGCCTTGATCCAGGCCACAGGAGCCCCAGTCACAGGGCATCTACACATCACCAGGGGTGCCATTTCCGTAGAAGACCATCCCTCCTGGAAAAACGTAAACACACTCCTGCAAGTTTGCAGGACCTCCTCAGACCCATCCCCTAGGATGGCAAAGGGCTGCTTACTTCGAACAGGTGATGTCTTTAAAGTCAAAATTGAGATTATAATATGCCTCCCAAAAAGTAGCCTAGTGAGACATTCTTCCAACCCCTCACTCCCCTCCTCCTACCCACCCCCACCAAAAGAAAAGAATAAAGAGAGCCTAAGCATAAGCAGCGCCAAAGGTGGAGGCACTGCAGATCTTTTCTGGAACAGTGACCTCAGTGGGCCCCAAAGGAGTTTCGTGTCCTTCTTGTGTCTGGGAAGGTTTCCCGGGCACAGTCTATAAACACCCAAGTTTACAGGACATGTTACTTTATTAATACAGCCATCTCTGCCCTGTGCACCCAAACAAGTAAGATGCTTACACAGCACTGTGACACCCCCCCCCCCACAATGCTTGGCAGGCCCCAGGCCCAGAGGTCACGGCTGCCACCTGCTGCAGCCAGAGGGCTTGCAGAAGCTCTGCCGCCACTCTGAACCATGAGGACCTGGGCACAGAGGTGGCAGCATCCAGCCCGGGAAGTCACAGCCTGCTCTGGGACCCAGTTCCCTTCCTGGGCACCAAGGGACGTTAATGCTTGGCTGTCTGCCAGGGTCACAGTGGGGAGGGCTCCATAAAGGTTTCCAGAGTGGCTTTGCTGGGGGTCCCCTCTCCGGGCCTCTTGGAGTCTAGCTCGTGGAGGGTGCAGAGCTGCACGCCGTCCTGGGCAAGCTGAGCCCACAGCACCGGTGCTGTGAGGACACGCAGCTCGTGTAGGCGCTCCCAGGAGCAGGAAAAGGCATCAGGACCCTCACCGCTGCCCCCAGCAGGAGGCACACTCGGATAGCCGGGGTGTGCCATCAGCTCGGCTGTCACTGCGCGTCCAGTGGGTATACCCTCCAGGGCCCTAGCCAGTGCCCCTGACACGTGGTGAGCGGACATGTGCCGGCCGCAGGTGCTCAGGCCCACGAAGACATCGGTCCACCTGTAGATGCCGGGGCATCAGCGGCACGGCTGCAGGCCGCAATGGATAGGGGTAGGCCGTGGGCGGGACGGATCTGGGGTGGGGACAACACCGGTCGAGGATGAGAAACGGACACAGCTGGCCAAGGTGAACGGCCAGCTGGATATACTGGGACCTGGGCCCAGCAGGGGGCAGGGGGCCTTACCGCAGGCCGTGGCGGGCAAAGGGGCCCATGGCGGCGCGGGCGTCTTGCTCCACTGCGCAGGCGAAGGCGCGCGCTGGGGCCTCGAGCCAAGCGCAGCCGCCCACCCCGCGCTCCATCGGCAGCCTAGTGAAGCGCACCCCGCAGGCCTGCAGCGCCTCGGCGAACACCTGGCACACTCCTGCGGGCGGGGCAGAGTCAGGGAGAGGCACATGCAGCACCCCCCCCACCCCGGCCTGGGAGCACCAACCCACGCACCTGGGAGCACGTGCACGTGCTGGTGCCCGTCCACGTGAGTAGGGTCCCTGCCCAGTAATTCCCGGAAACGGCTCAGCTGGGCCTCCAGCTCTCCTCGAACCTGAAGTAAGAAGGTGATCGGCACACAGAACGTCCGGAAGCAGCTACCCAGAAGGACCCTGTCCATGTGGTCCCCTGTGATCGCCCCTGTGTTTGAACCAGTTAG